GAGACAGAAGGCATTCGGGTCCCCCCCGCCTCTCCACCCCTTTGCAGCGGGGTCGGTGCATAGCTGGGTGCAAAGCCTTGGAGCAAACCAGCGCTTCCAGGCACAGCACACACATGGGGGGACCGGAGCGAAGGAGCCGGGTGGGTGTCGGAGCCCCGTTAGCCATAAAGTCACCGGTCTCGGTGCCGAGGTCAGTGATAAAGTCCCTAATTTTAGAGGCCCGGGTTTGTTTTGTTTTCTATGGGGAGCATAGGAAGAAAGAGCCAGCAGCTGTGGGGAGGCTGCAAAGCTGCAGTCGCTGCCCAGGAACCCTGTCAGGAAGGGGGGATCCCGTGGGGAAGGGGATCCCGTGGGGAAGGGGACCCCGTGGGGAAGGGGGGATCCCGTGGGGAAGGGGGGATCCCGTGGGGAAGGGGATCCCGTGGGGAAGGGGACCCCATGGAGTCTCTCGCTGGTCACGGGGTTTTCGGGAAAGGCAACTGCAGGGGTGAATGACTGGGATGCCTGACGCAGGCCACGGGGAGGAGCTGGGATTGGCGAGAGCTGCCTTTACAATACGCATGTATATGTTTACGTCAGCTTTGAAACCAAGGGTGTCAAAATTACAATTTGTAGATCGTAACGTGAGCTAGTCTAAATTAAAACCATATACTAATAGTTAACGCTGTTCTTTCCTACCCCATGGGGCTTTAACAGGGAAAAACCAGAGAAGAGCATGATAGGAAATCCGTGCTATTGATAGGAGATCCATGCTATTGATAGGAAATCAGTGCTATTGATAGGAAATCAGTGCTATTGATAGGAAATCCATGCTATTGATAGGAAATCAGCGCTATTGATAGGAAATCAGTGCTATTGATAGGAAATCCGTGCTATTGATAGGAGATCCATGCTATTGATAGAAAATCAGTGCTATTGATAGGAAATCGGTGCTATGGAGGGGATACGGCATCGTGTCCCTGGGCAGCCGTGAGTCACTGCTGCAAGTGGCGGAGCGAGGATTAAGTAGGTCAGGCTGTCAGCGGGGAGATCCCGTGCCACTGCCGTCTCCACTGCTCCCCCCGTCTTGGGAGTTAGCTCTCGTGCGGAGCTGATGGAGCCGGAGCGAACACCTGCTGCGGGAAGGCTGGGAGGTACGGCGCTGGGTCAGGAGCGCTGGCTTGGCTGAAAATCCTCTGCAAGCACATGGGATTTGTGCGGCACGAGTCCTGTTAATGGGGGTGTGGGATCTGATCAGGCAGGAATTGAGCTCCGCAGCTCCCCCAGCAACGTGGGGCAGAGCTGGATGCAGATCGGGATGCTGCCTCCGCACTCGGCAGAGGCAAAGCTGGGGTGGGGGGCCCAGAGCACCCCACTGGCCAAATGTCCCCGCTGCTGAGAGAGAGGACTGGGTTTCCCGAAGCAATGGTAGGTTTGCTTCATTGCACGGCTGCAGTTTGAGGGTACCTTACCCCTTGCGTTGTCTCTTCTGCTGTCCCGTTTTCTGTAGAGCTGTTGCAGCAGCGATGACTCCCTGGGAGCGGAGGGGCAGGTGCCTTGGGCACTCGCCGTGCTGGCTGCTCCCCTTGAGGCTGTTACTAAGGGCAGGATTAATCTAAACTAATTTAGGCATTAGCTTCCTCATTTGAGTCGTCAGCCGCCTGTCATCAGTAAGGAGGGAGGCACTAGTGGAGGATGGTCCTTCCCACCCTACGCTGCGTGGTCAGCGTGCCCCGATGAGTGCCCCGGCCCCTGCCCGTGGCAAGGCAAACCCAGGAGCTTCCAGGAAGGCGCACACGACAGAGGTGCTGGATAGGAGAATATACCCACGAAAAGAAAAGTGACTCCTTAAGAGAGCCCATCCTGATTACGGGATGCGCTGGAGATGCTTCCCGTCTTCCATCCGGCGGCAGTCAGGGCTGTGACCTGCGCTCGGGAGGGGAGCGGTGACACCGGCACGTATAGAGTCCCCGTTGACGCTGGCTCTGCTGCAGCCCTGCCACCCTCCGTCCCCAAGTGTGGTGGGTTTTTTTTTTTCAAGCGGCCACCTCGGCACAGGTTTCTCCTCTCGTTCCAGCTTTCAACATCCAAACCTGTGTTGCCTCCCCGTGCGTAGCTCAGACCCTGTTCCAGCAGCCTCGGCCGTCTGGGCTCTTCCAGCCCTTTGCACTATTGCTGCCCACCTTCGTGAGAAGCTGTTGGTGAAATTCTGTAGAGAGACTTTTCTTTTTTTTTTCCAACCACGTCCTGTGGAATTTCTCTCTGCAGCATTTTTCCTTAGCTTTAGGCCTCGGTTGTTTTCAGTGCTCAAAACTGTTGTGTTCAACTTCTGGGACCGTAAAGCACTATGTAGATTTATGAAGGCATGTTGGTAGCGTCCCAGAACTGAGGGAGGAGAGGCAGGAGAGAAGAGAATTGTAGCTGGAAGATGTCATCTCTGCTGGCTTTGGATTGCCACAAATCATAACATAACATTTAATAGGTATAAACCAATGTTTCAAGCAGCAGACCTTTCCCAAGAGAGCCCCTCTAAAGAACAGCAATCAAGAAAGACGGTATCATTTCTCCCCACATGCCATTTCAATCCCTAGCAGTTCTGATTTTCAGCTTTCTCACTGTGACTTTATTCAGATACTCCGAGTTTCTAAAGTGAAAATTCATGTAGCTATCAAATAGGGATTTTATTTTTTTTTAGTCTTGGGTATTTTTTCCACTTTCTCTGCAATATTAAATGTTGGAGTTCTTACCACACTAACTCACCAAAATATACTCTCCAGACTTCCTGAGACCCTCCTGTTCGCTCAGTGCTGTTTGCTTTTTGACTCCAGATCAAACTGTGGGAGTTATGGCCCTTGCAGGGCTCCTGATGGAGAGGAGAGCTCTGTAGACCCAGGGCTGAGAGCTCAACGAGAAGTGAGGTAGACCTGAGGGCATCCATGGATTTTGTTAAGCAGTGGCTAGGTATTTTGTTGGAAAAGGAATTAGGTGCTCTTGAAGGCTTACAACCGTCTCAGTTTTTATTACTAGATATGAGGCTGCCGCTCGGCTGCGCATGACGCAGTGGTTGTAGGATGCTTTCCCTGACTGCTGCCTGGCTACGGGAGCAGTAACCTTATTAGAAGATGGCATCTTCCCTGGTTGTGTCCTACAGCCCGTGAGGTCTGACATTGCAGCCTTCTGTTCCAAAAACTGAATGTGAAATTTATTCCCACCTCACTGTAAATTCACGTCCTTCCATCCCATGTCAGTCTGATGGCCACAGACCATCTCCTCCAGAAGTGCTCAGCAATGAACTGCACCCTAAATCCCAAAGGGGTTTAGAGGGGGAGCGGGCTATGTCCTAGCCGAGCATGTCAGGGAGGCTCCTGAAAGTCTGCCGGCCATTCCCCGTGCCTGCCCTTATCTGTCTCGGACAATGCATTAATCAAAGCAAACAGAAGTCGCTCCTTCAGCTGAAGGTCCCCGATAACCCCGGCAGCTTTGCTGTACTGGGTGGGTCCGTGCTGTGCTGCGGGTGACGGCCGCTATCGCTGGTGCCGGCACCGCGGGGCAGCACGGCAGCCCAGGTCTCCTCTGCCATCCCACAAACTGCTGGGTAGGACAGAAGCAGATTTGCCAGGCAGGGAAAAGGACCAGGGAGGAGTGAGGCTCCTTCAGTTCCTCACAACTCTTTCAGTTCACCCAATAGTTTGGCTGGGGTTAGTGCACAGTCGTGGAGCTCAGTATTTTGGAATGAGGCTAATGGAGGTAACTGAAATCCTCTCTGCTCGGTCCTTCCCACGAGGAGAGGACGTTATGAGCTGTTTAATGCAGCTGGAATGCATGGGACTCGCTGCTGCGGAGAAGTACTGCAGTGCCAAGCAACATTTGTGCTTTCAACATACATTCATGTTACTGCCCATCAAGCTGAGCTGCTTTAACTCTCCGGGGGCACGTTCCTAGGCTGACACAGAGGACAAAAAAAAAACACCCGTGACATAAACTCTTTCAGTCCAAGCTCAGCCTGTCTGCAAGTACGCACCAGCTGACCAGCAGGCTCGGTCCCGTCCCTGCGGTACTGCCGGTACCGCAGCGGCTTCACGCCTTCGCACGATGGGTGGGAGCTGGACTGGGCGCTCCATCGGCCAGTGCTGGGTTTCCTTCATCTCAGTGTCCTTGGAGCAAACCACAGAGGGTTCGTGTTCCACTGTGTGTTTCCACGTGGTAGCCTTCATTTTCCATCCCCAAGTCATGTAAACTCGCAGCAGATGTGAATAAGACTTTGTTAAAAGGACATCAGCTGTTTCTCTTTGCCGGCCTTTGCAATAGAGAACTCGCTGAACCATGGGTCTCTGGATCCTCTGCTAGATCTGTGAGCAAATACTGATGGTAATAACATAGAAACTGCATAGATGTTGCCATTACAACTATGTTTAGTATTGAAAACGGTTTTGTATCAGACTCTGCCGGGCTGGTGGGGCACGGGAAGAGCCCAAACGGTGCTGGTCTCATGGGTTCTTCAGTGGCAGCTCCAGGGGAGATGCACAACAAAAATCTGGAGGAACCTCCCAGCAGATTAATAGCGCTGTGATGGTGATCGTCTCTTGGACCGTTATTCCTTGACTGTGTCCCTTTAAGTATTGTGCTCTTTTCTAAGATTGTTCAGCTTATTTTTTTTGTAAATGCAGTAGAGTATTTAGTCATGATTGAAAAGAAAGAGTTAAAATGCTAATCCAACCTCCCTTGTTTTAAACAGGAACAGAAATTCTTGGCAAATCAGTGCGTATTATATTCTCTACGTTAGGAGTTTGCATATTTTTTGCAATTGGCTACATGTTGCTGCCAGTGTTTGCTTACTTCATCAGAGACTGGCGGATGCTGCTGCTGGCGCTTACTGTCCCGGGGCTATTCTGCATCCCGCTCTGGTGGTGAGTGCCCCCGCGCCGCGCGGCCACGCTCCCCCCTCCCTCCCCGCCCAGACGCTCTCCCGCTCCAGGTGCTGGGTAATGGCAGGGGGGGGAGGGGGGGCCCCATTTCCCCCTTTGGTTTTTGTTTTTTTTTTTTTTCTATTTGCCATGTGAAGCGGCTTTGCCTTGAGGCGGGAGTTGGGGGGTTGTTTTCCTTGGGGGGTTTTTTTGCCAGTTTTAAGTCATAGAATCATCGAATCGTTTAGGTTGGAAAAGACCTTTAAGATCATCCAGTCCAACCATTAACCTACACTACCAAGCCCACACTAAACCAATCAAGGGTAGACTAGACTAAACCATGTCCCCAAGTGCCACATCTACCCATTTTTTGAACACTTCCAGGGATGGTGACTCCACCACCTCTCTGGGCAGCCTGTTCCAATTCTTGACCACCCTTTCTGTGAAGAAATTTTTCCGAATTTCCAACCTAAACCTCCCCTGGCGCAGCTTGAGCCCATTTCCTCTTGTCCTATCGCTAACTACATGGGAGAAGAGACCAACACCCACCTCAGTACACCCTCCTTTCAGGGAGTTGTAGAGAGCGATAAGGTCTCCCCTCAGCCTCCTCTTCTCCAGGCTGAACACCCCCAGCTCCCTCAGCCGCTCCCCACCAGCCCTGAGCTCCAGACCCTTCCCCAGCTCCGCTGCCCTTCTCTGGACACGCTCCAGCACCCCAATGTCCTTCTTGTGCTGAGGGGCCCAAAACTGGACACAGCATTCCAGGTGCGGCCTCACCAGCGCTGAGCACAGGGGCACAATCACCTCCCTGCTCCTGCTGGCCACACTATTCCTGACACAAGCCAGGACGCTGTTGGCCTTCTTGGCCAACAAGTCAAGTGAACTACCCGCAGAGCCTCACCGGTGCTGGCCATGTGCTTGAAGCCACCTTTTCACCAGCTCTCCAGAGCAGCTTGGGAATTCTGTGTTTGACTCCTATCTCTGGACGCTGTTAACCACCTCTAGGTTTACCCCCCTAGTACCACTGGGCGATTCATTCTAACTTTTCTTCCTTGCTTTTTTCTTTAAGCCATTTGTAAACGCAGATCCACCTGCTGATTGGTGCTAAAATCTCAGTGAAAGGCTGAGCCCGTCCAGCACGCAGCAGCTGGCGGCTTATTGCACTCGACGTCCTTACGCAGTTCATTGCACTAGGTGCCGTTAAGCAGAGGCACTTGCCGGCAGAGCTCGCCGGGCCAGCCCTCTCCCACGGGCTCTGCGTGCCAGGAGCCGTGTGTCCTCCCGGGCTTTGCTTTGGCTGCTGGAGCAGGACGTTGATTTGTGAGCTCCTTCAGCCCATAGTAACTCCATCCGGCTAAGCCAGAGGTTAGATCTTCCGTACCCTGCTCCTCGGAGCCATCCCACGCTGTCGCCTTGGTGGCTGAGCCCATGCTTTCTTTCATCTTTCCACCGCGCTCACCCACCCCTGCTCTAATGCATTGGTGGATGTGTAGGTGTACCCTCACTTGCCCATGGATGCCCTGCCCTGGGAGACTGAGAAAACAGTTTAGGAAAACTCCCTGCTCTTCTCAGCTGGACAGAAGCATTGAAGAGGGGCAGATATCCTTGTTCCGTTGATGCCTTGGTCATCTGTTGTTTTCTGAAGAGATAGGTGTTTAGAAAATAGGAAGGGAAAGGCGAGGTATCACTCACACTCTTAAAATAAGGATAATTTACAACAAAAAGAGTTCCTTCCTTTCATATTAGTCTTATCTGGGGGAACTCCTTTTTTCCTATTATCTTGAAACAGTTATACCTACGAGATTAATGTCTTTATCACAATTAAGTGATTTAGACCCACTCTTTGATAGTCTAAAAGACCTCCTGCAGATCTCAGTCTTGTCAGAAGTCTCTGCTGATCATTTTGGCTTGGGTTGTTTTTTCATCTTAGTCTTCAAATCAAACCAAACCTTTAAAAAGGTTTTCAGCTCCACCTCTGTTATCATCTGACTTTAAAGATAATCTGATTCTATTTAGGGGTTAATTTGCTTATTTAACTTGAAATGCTTCACACTCCTTCAACACAGCAGCATTTCCCTCTGCACCAAGCAGCTGCTCTCTGGGGAGGTTGGTTTTGGGTGGAAGCTTCTCAGATGTCTGCTATAGAACAGGCACTGTGAGTCACATGAAATTTGTCCCCAAGGCATGGCTTCAGAGTCCTGCTTTGAAATGTATTTGGTGGGAATTTCCATGCTTTTCAAGAGCATACATCGTAAAGCATGCCAAAAATTTCCACGGATGGCACTTCCAGTCTGGGGCTGATGTGGTGGGAGATGGGGATCAAGGTGCACTGGCCAAACTCTGCCGAGGCAGGTTGGTATTAGCTGGCATTTGGGCATCTGGACCCACTGCTTCCACGGGTGATGTGACTTGCTCATCCCACTGCTCCGTGCCATAGTTGCTCTTTTACTCATTCCTCTTCCAAATCCTCCAGAAGGTTCCCAGCATCGTTTCTGCAGTCTTGTGTTCCTCAGCTTGCCCACAAAGAAGAGCAGTGGAGACAGCTCACCTCACAGAAAGTCACATTAGTGGTTGAACAATCTGATCTACATCATCTGGCGCTTGAAACCATTGACATGGTTGGACTGGATGATCTTAAAGGTCTTTTCCAACCTAGATGATTCTATGATTCTATGATTCTATGACATGGCTTTGGGTCAGTCCTTTAGGGAAGCCATCAGAAAAGGAGTGTCTGACCTGCTTTTTTCCAAGGGGAGGAAAAAAATGCTGCTGGCTAAAGGGAGAAAGGTAGCATCTGTTAAGATCAAAGGATTTAGTTCAGGAAAGGTGAGATTTTCTGTCCTGTGTTTGGTGTTAACTCACTCAACACGTGCCCGGAATTGATCAGAAAATGTCATCAGCTCTGCAAGGGGATGCTGCCACTGTCCTCTGCCTGGGAGAGCCTGCCTCAGAGCTGTAAAATTGTGAGGTTTGTACATAGGATTCCTGTGACACAGAGCCTTTAAATGTACCCTGTGCATATTGAAAGCATTTCCACATTGTGTGCAGTTTCCTAAGAGTATTTTTGCTCAACACTTGTTAAGCTACCCCCATCTTTGCTGTCTGTCTGGTGACATCTGTGTTTTTTCTGGTGGACATCATTTATTCCTTAAAAAACAACCACCCAGGACAAGGGCCTAAGCGTGCATCTACTTCAGCACGAGAATAAACACGTCCCATATATCTGAATTCTCCCACTGATCCCAGTGGGACAAATCCATGAATTACATTGCCCACATGCTTCTGTGCTGACTCTCTTCTGCTGCAAGCAATCTGTGAGATGAGAGCGTAACTCATAAAAACAGTACATGTGTTTTTAATAACGTTTTACTTTTGTGAAAACGTTGAGTCATTTATTCTGAAACTTATTGCAGGATCATTCCTGAATCCCCTCGGTGGCTGATCTCCCAGGGAAGATATAAGGAGGCAGAAGTTATTATCCGAAAGGCTGCAAAAATAAATGGCGTTCCAGCCCCAGCTGTGCTTTTCGACACCGCGGAGGTATGTTTCATGCGTCCTGGTACTTTACCTCGCAGGCAGTTTCCCTCTTTGGCCAGCTGACTTGTTGGGAGATGCCGGCAGAGAATTGGTTTGCCCCAGCAGCTCTTAGCGGCTGGCAAGGGCTGTTGGCGTGAGGTAAGTGCTGGGTTAGTGAGCTCGAAATGAGAAGCCAGAGGGGGGTTTTATTTGTTTGTTTTTTACAGTAAAATTCTCTTCCTCAGCAGTGGTTGGTTGTGGTTTTCAGAGCAAGGGTGACCCAGATTGCTTCATCCTTTGGGCACTGAGAAGACCCAAGGAAGACGTGTTTGTCCCCGTTTCAGCTTGGCGCAGCATTAGCGATTTGCAGTTTAACAGCATTTGCAGTTTAACAGCAGCCCTTTGCGGGGGGGAGGCTGTGCAGGGGACCCTAAATTGGCACCCACATGTGCCGGGGCTGCACGGAGCCCCAAGGGAGTCCTCAGGTTGCACAAACCAGCCAAAGCACCCGAGTGCTACAAGGGCACTTGAAAACCACAACGGTAGCAAAGGCGGTGGAGAACATTAAGCTCTTCTCCAGGCCTGTTTTTCTCTTGCATTTCATATTGGTTAAAAAGAGAAAGCCTAGCACAAACCTAGCCCCCCAGCACGCTGGGAAGCAGCACGGCCGCGGCGGGACGGCTGGTTCTTGTGCTCATCTCCCCCTCTAGTGGCTTTTCTCTCGCGCTGAAGCAACACAGACATTTTTCTTGTGCAAAGAACCGATCGACGCTTCCAGCCTTGCGTCAGCAACGACCGCGTGCCTGTATGTCAGATCTCACTCTACTGCGTTGTACTAGCACCTGCGTTTTATGCCTCCTGACACCGCAGAAGGCAAAGCACCGCGTGCTCCTTTGCAGTATCCGCAGGAGAGGGATGCTGCGCGCTGCACCTCCTGCGGGCAGGATCCATCTGTTGAATGTCATGCTTACGTGTTGGCTGAGCTGCTGAAGATCCCTTTGCCAAGCCTGTGTTCTAGTGTAAATTGAAGTGCATGTTATGGGAAGCTGATCCTACAGAAACCATGGAAAAGCACTTTCCTTACTTCACAGCCAGAGTTCAGATGTCTTTCCTACTGGACGGGACTTTTTCAGGCTCCAGCACGTGAGTTTGCTTTACACCACTCCTGCGTATTTTTGAGACCAAGCAGCAGCTCAGCTGTCCTTTATTTCGTGGGAATCTTGTGTGCCAAAGCATCTGTCCACAAAAGCCTGAGGATGATGTTTGCACGTTAAGTCCTCCGTTGGAAGTATTTTTCAGACGTTCCTAGAAAGACGCTCCTCGGAAACCATCCTCTCTTCCTAGGAAAGGAAATCTCCTGGGTAGCCCCATAGGGAGGGCCAGTGTGGTTTGCTCTTTGGGCTTGGGGGGAAGTCTGGCCACAAGCGCTGGCTTTGCCCCAGTGAGGGCTCTCCGTGCAGGCAGAGGGGCACCCTCACGCCATCCAGAAGGTTCCTGCTTCACGCCTCAAACTGGACCCTCTGTCTCCGATCTGGGGTGGTGGATGCTCCCATGCTGCGCCTCGGCCACCACGCCGAGCTCTGGGTGCCGGCAAGCAGGCAGCAAAACTGGGTGATTCTCTGCATTTATTTCACATCGTTTGTGAAGGTTGAACAGAAGAGAGTTGAGTGGCCAGTGCACAGGAAAATGCCTTTGGTGATGAGGTTGCTCCTGGAAGCACTGTGTTAGATCCTTATGGAAATGTTAATGCGTCTTTCTCGTCAGCTGATACTCTTTTCATTAGTCAGCATGGTGCGGTGGTCTCAGTGCTACCTTTTTTTAACAAAAAACTGGAAACTACCACAAGTACAGCTGGGTGCAGAGACAAGCTCTACCTAAGGACCGCCCTCCCTGGTGCAGAAGTGGCCCTTGGGCTGGCTAGTTATCCCCTGATAGTCGTAACTTCCTAACTGCCCAAACCTGTGGGTATGCAGAGGTTGTTTTGCTCTTAGGTGTGTGGGAATTTTTTTGGTTTTGTTTTCCTTTTTCCTTCAGATGCAGGATTCGAAGCCTCAGCAGCAGCAGAAGGCTATCCTTCTGGACCTATTTCGAACCCGAAACATTGCAACTATTACTATTATGTCATTACTTTTGTGGTAAGGAAATGTGTATTCCTAAAGTACCCAGGCAATAGAACCAATTTCTGATTTGAGGGCACGTGCCACAGGTTTAGATAACAAGTCTCAGCCTCGGAGCCCATCTACACACGGTCCATGGCCAGTACATGGCCCTCGATGTCCTCGCACCCGCACTGCATTAATACACAAGAGTATGGAGACAGTAGCCTCGACTCAGATGTAAAATAGTTAGGAAACTATATGTAACGACTTGTGTATTTTAAATTCTATTGCTTTTTGGTTTGGGTTTTTTTTTTTCTTTTTTTTAAGAAGCTCCCATCTCTATAATCTCTATTTGAAGAGAAATGTCCTTCTTGAAGCAAAGGCAGCAACTCAGTAACATAACAAGAACCAGACCAGCGTTTTTGTTCTGTTTCTGTGCAGTGCCCATCTCAGTGAGATCCCGGTCCCTGCCTGGGCAGCCACAAGGAATGAGGACCTAATAATACCGTATAGACAAACCGGGACCCTTTTCTGTACTTATTTCCCCCAGCAGAAAGGAACTGGCTAGCACATTTGGCATGCCATAGTAAGGCACTCCTGAGATTTGAAACCCGAACATCCAGCTCTCTCCTGAAGATTAAATAAGATGTGACGGAACTGCTGAGGGTGGGAGATCCTGTCACTGGAGTTGGCTACAAGTAGGAACGTAGCTGGCATGGGAAGCTTTCAAGAGTTATTTCATTGTGCCGTTAATGAGTCCATTGCAGTGAAAAGCTTTTGTGAACGACTTCCACAAAGCCTTTTACTTGGTGTAGCGTATGCAGGAAGGACAGAGAAATCAGAGGTCTCTTCAAGCCGCTGTGGATATGATCACTGGAAGGGATGACAGAATTAGAAAGATGGGGTTGCCACTGAGATTTTTATTTTTAAGCCACGATGCCTGTGGCGATGCATTGTGACATCCTATTTTTGTAACAACCCCCGAGGCAATGCTGGAGGCGTTCATAGACCGCCTGGAATCATTTGGTTTTATTGCTTTTCTCAGGTTTTTCACATCAGTTGGCTACTTTGGCCTGTCCCTCAGCACTCCAAACTGGCATGGAAATGCCTACATCAACTGTTTCCTCTCGGCTGTTATTGAAGTTCCAGCTTACGTGATCGCCTGGCTTCTCCTCCGCTCCCTCCCTCGGCGCTACTCCTTATCCAGCACCTTGTTTTTAGGGGGAGGTGTTGTCCTCCTCATTCAGCTGGTTCCTGCAGGTACAAGATTCAATACATGACTTAAGTATAGAAAATGTTAGAAATATTTCATGGTAATAGCTCTGTAAAATTACTGGAAACCACAATCAAATTTAGAATTTGAGGTCAAGTTTATGCCGATCACCTGCAGCTGTGGGGTTTTTTTTTATATGCATATGTATATGCTGAGTCATGCACGGCTCTCATTTATTGTGTCAAATTACCGAGCTTTTTATAGTCCAGCTTGTAAAATGAGAGCCAAAGTGTACTGTGATTTATCTGGTTGTGCATAGAGGCTAAAAAAACCTGCAAGTCTTCCAGATTTCACTGTGTGTAAATCTCCGCAGGTTTTTGCGAAAAAGGGGTGGATTTAAGCTTGTGCTTTCTTGTTGTATAATCTGGAATTTTGTTCCATTTCAAGAATGCTGTTTTACTGGGAGAGGACCAAAATCTGAGAAGTACAAAATAACCTGAGCATCTACATTATGCTCAGTGGGAAGTTTGGAGCCAAGTCATCTAGGGATGGGCTAATACATTGTCTAATTAAAAAAAACAAAACCAAACTCACAACCGCTAGGAAACAAACAACGATACAATCTTTGGGGTGTAGAAGAAATACAAGTAATAAGCACAGGGTGTTGTTTATTCACCTCGATTTTATTTTTTCTCCTCCAGATTTTAATGTCCTGTCCGTTGGCCTGGTGATGCTTGGGAAATTTGGCATCACAGCTGCGTTTTCAATGCTTTACGTCTACAGCGTGGAGCTATACCCAACACTAGTGCGAAACATGGCAGTCGGAGCTACTTCCACGGCATCCAGGCTGGGCAGCATCGTTGCTCCTTACTTTGTTTACCTGGGTGAGACATCTTGCTTTTCTTGCCTTGTGCTACACGACAGCCCAGAAAAGTCTTCGGAGCTTCTGCAGTGCAGGCTCAGCTTTAAGTCCCTTCATTTGTTGTCTTTTAAGTCCCTTCTCTCATCTTGGGTCTGAGTTTACTGTTGAATACGGTAGAAATGAAGCAGAGCTCCTTGGGTTTCACAAAAGAATCAGACGCTTTTTTCCTTTATTGAGGCTAGGGACCGTTCACACAGCACCAGAGCAGGTCCGAGCTGGTCCAAGACAATGACGGTGTTTATAAGCCGTGCAAGCGGCGTGGTTGGGACGATAATTGGTCACATCTGGGCAATGGGCATTATCCCTGGGATGCCAGTTAGTTCCCCAGGAGAGTGTGACAAGATGCAATCTAGCAAGTAAGCACCGCTGGGAAGTTCACTGCATTGTACTCTGGAGCACAGGTCTTACGAGGAGCGGCTGAGGGAGCTGGGGTTGTTTAGTCTGGAGAAGAGGAGGCTGAGGGGAGACCTCATCGCTCTCTACAACTCCCTGAAAGGAGGTTGTAGTGAGGTGGGTGTTGGTCTCTTCTCCCAGGTAGATAATGATAGGACGAGAGGAAATGGGCTGAAGCTGCGCCAGGGGAGGTTTAGGTTGGATATTAGGAAAAATTTCTTCACGGAAA